CAAAACGCTCCGCTCATGGGTTTCTAATCACGATAATACTGGCTTCTTTTGAGATAGTACTTACATTCAGAGTACAGTATTAGGTTGTCTTTGATAATAACAGTTTTATTGTATTAGTATGGTAAAAATTTAAAGGAAATACGTAACAGAATTTCGATTTCATAATTGAAAAATGTCGTACAGTGGTAGCAATTCTGAAGGGCAGGGGACAATATTGAAAAGAAGTCCGGCCGCATATAGGCTTTTCAAATACGCCAATTTAAACTGTGCGTCCAGCATTAATTTGTTAATTTATTTTGATTTTTAGAAGTGTCTGTGCCAAGCCATAATACTGAAGATGACGTAGATCATTTAAATGCTGGTAAGTGTTTGATAATCTGGTCATTTTTGTGAGCGTTAGATTTAAAATCCTGTCCTTATTGCAACAGTGAGACATGCGATCGGTATATCCCGGCAAATGTGCCAAACTGTCCCTCTGTCCAGTATTAATAACGTTTTTATTGTTATTTGATTTTATAGAAGTATCTGCGCATCATGATAATGGTGATGCATATCGTGTACATTTTTTTTTTTTATTTTTTTTTTTTAAATTTATTTATTTATTTTTTATTTAGCCCAGTAGGTTAACTGATATTCAGGGGCCCTCTTTAATAAAATCAAAGAACAGTACAAACAACATCATTACAACATAATAATAATAATAATAATAATAATAATAATAATAATAATAATAATAACATACAATCCTCATGCTGGTATTAAAAAGTGTTACTCTGTTAAAATTAAAATTAAAAGTGTTACTCTGTTAAAATATTCCAGGATTTTAGTATGGTAAAAATGCGCAATTGTCTGCGTTTGTCTGGTATTAATTTTTAATTTTTATTTGATTTTCAGAATTGTCTGTGTCAATCCATAGTAATGAAGATGAGGTAGAACGACTTCATGCTGGTAAGTATTAAATCAAGTCAGCCTTTGCAACAATGAGGCATGCTATTATTAAAATGATGACAAATGCGCGAATTTGAACTGTCGCTTTATCCGGTATTAATACCGTTTTTAACTTTATTTTTTTAGAAGTGTCTCTGCCAAATCATAATAATGAAGAGGAAGTGGGTCATGTACATTCTGGTAAGTGTTAAATCAGGTCATTGCACTTTTTTAATTGGGACCTCTGGATGGGCACACTCACACTGGTTTAACGGTATGGTAAAAATGTGCGAATTTAAACTGTGCGTTTGTTTGGTATTAATTTGTTATTTTAATTTGCTTTTCAGAAGTGTCTGTGCCAAGTCATAACAATGAAGATGAGGTAGAACGTGTTCATGCTGGTAAGTAAATCAAGTCATCCTTTGCAACAATGAGGCATGCTATAAGTAAAATGATGACAAATGCGCGAATTTGAACTGTCGCTGTATCCGGTATTAATATCGTTTACTGTCTAGATTAATAAGCCTGGTCGCCATATGCTATCTATATAAATAGAGGGAAGCTTAATTTAGAGATGTGCTTCATGAGATCGATTCAGTGGCGGCGCCAGGATTTCGTCCCGTTTTTAAACCGTCGTTTTAAAAAAAATTGTGAATTCAAATTTTATGTTTGTCCGATATTAATACTGTTTTTTTTAAATTGAATTATTATTATTATTATTGACTTCATAATTCAAAATTTAAATTTAAATTTAGTTAAAACTGAGACAACTATACAAGGAGAGCGTGCTTTTGGTATGCAAATATCAACCGAACACAGTTAAAGCCGAGCGAATGCTTACTGCTCATGCTCAGTTCATAATCACTGAACAGTGTAAAATATAAACAACTACCAAATAGGCCTGAAACCTTATTTACATATCAATTAAACACATAGCATCACAAGCTAGAGAAAAAAAGAATCCAGCCACATTTATTTCTTGTATAGTCGTAAGATTAACAAAGTAAAATAAATTTTAAATTTTAAAGTGAAAACATATATGGAATCGTCCTGCGTTTACAAGTCATGTTCCGCTTTTTAAACCGTCTTTGTTTAAAGTTCGGGATATGAAATGCAATGGTACCGGTAAACCGAATATACTCTACATATTTTTTTTCAACAGGCCGAAAACGCTGTAATTGCAGCTGGCAAGAGTCGTATAAGAAACTTTTTTTTGGAAGTGGAAATAACAAGAAATGAGCAACGGCGCACCAACGTCATATTGACAGAACTGCTGACAGTTATCAGAGCAAATCAAAAAAATCAAAATGCCGCCGAACATGTCGACCATCCAGACACAGACCATAGCAACATGGAAAATGTACCAATCAGCAATGGGCCTATTCAACCGAAAATGGAACTTGACAGCAGTGGCTTCGTTATTGTTGGTGGGAGAGACTGTACCGTGGTACCGGTGACAATGCCAAGAGAAAAGTACGCATAAGTTCTAAAGGCAAACCAGAGGCCAACGACAGTAATTAAGTCATTACTGGACTGTTTGTTTGAACGACATGAGCTAAGCCGTAGTAATATTGGTGGTAGACAGGGCAAAGACCCACTTGATGAAAGAAAAGTTAAAGCAATCATGAGTCAAGTGTTTTTGCAATTCAGGAACACAGGTATACCTATCTCAAAAAAAACAGTTAGTAAATGCTGTGAATGAAAAATGTAGATACAGCCGGCGGCTTGAAAAACATTGTTTAAATGAAGATCTTCCTACTTGTTTCGCAGAGTGCGAAATTTGATTTTAGTATCTGGCGCCCCCAGTGTTTCTATCGGGGTTTCCATAGCCGTAGTAGTGAGTTTACCGAGTCAACTTATAGACCGTGGGTTGAGGCTCCAAAATCGGCTTAGTTTACGAATTCTGTGACCCACCGATCCGCGCTACTTGGCATTCGCACAAATGATATAAATTCTCATTTTTGGTTACAGTTTCCCCAAATTCACGATTGCCGACAATCAAATTATGTTACAATTTAATAGTATTGACATTTTTGTGCAAAAGCCAGGTAGCCCGGATTGGTGGGTCACAGAATTGAACGTTTTCGATCCTCAACCCACGGTCTATTAGCGTTGAATTGAGATTTCGTTTATAATGATATAAGTTAAGAGGTGCTAGACGTGAGTAATTAATTAACACATAGTAGATTCATATAGATAGAACGTTGCAGATGTTTTCCCGTTATTCATGTTAATACCGTACTGTTGTAAGTTGAGCTAGCGTAGGTTTATTGCCGCGCTACTTTCACCCTACGGAATTAGTCTAGGGCTAACTATCTTTTGGCCGGAGTTAATTGATATCACATGTGTAGATGGTGATGTACAATGTGTAGGCCTAAATACTAGCTCATGTTTACGATTTAAAGTTTTCAGCTCACATATGTGATTGATGGCTTTTCTAGTGACACCTTATGTGGTACCGATTAATCAGATAATAACTACAGAAGAGTTAATTGTCATTTATTGATTTTGTTATGCTATAGTAAAATACATTGATTGAAATCGCGAGAGTATAACATGCAGCTGGAGTTAGAGGACGCCGCCAACGTCGGTGTTTAGTGTCTTGAATATGCATGTTTAGCTTATTTTTTGCATTTCTTTGAATGTTTTGTTTATTACAGGTTTTCGAACCTGACTGCTGGTGCTTGTTTGAAAATAAAGCAAACCGATTAATTTATGCTGACTCCTGTCATTCTTTATTCAAACGAAACACTACTTCGGAAGTTGTTTGATTGATATGCTTCATTTCTTGTTTCTATTGCGTTTAATTTCCAACAGTTTATAAGTCTGATAGTACAATAGTTACACGAATACTACTGCACATACCATAAACACTGACCATACATTTCGGATATATGCCGTAAATAGGCCTAATTATAATCAAACCCTGTACAGTAGTACTGTGCAGCAATATAACATTTTCTATACATTTTATAATTGCAGGGGGTCCCTGTTGGAAGTTCAATAAATAGTTTATTTATAGTTATATGTGGTGAATATATATGTGTCATGTCTTGTTTCTATTGCTTTTCATTTTAAAAAATTTATAAGTTTGATAGTTACAATAGTTACATGAATACTACTGCACATACCACAAACACTTACCATACATTTCGGATATATGCCGTATTATAATCAAACCCTGTACAGTAGTACTGTGCAGCAATATAACATTTTCTATACATTTTATAATTGTGGGGGAAAAAAGAAAACACAAAAAAGTCAGTCTAATTATAGTAAAGTATAAATCATAATCTTTAAAACACTATTAGGCCCCATAAAAAAAAATTAGTTTATCACACTGCCAAAGAATAAAAACTGATGAGGGAGGGAGGTTCTTACCGATGTTTGCTGGTAAATGAATGGTTAGGCCCAAAGGACAAATTTATAAAACGTCATAAGAATGAAATCAAATTTATATTTAAAAAAATATGTTTTTGTTGTACCAATACAAATAAATGCAAGAAATCCTGAGCTTTTCTAGTCAAAAAAGGTGGAAAGATGATCGTTTGAAATAAAAAATATGTTCATTACAAAAAAAAAAACAAAAAAAAAACAGGATTTTCCAAAAAAAAAAAAAAAAAAAGCAAAGAACAGGATTTTCCCAAAAATGATGAAGGAGGGGGTGATAAACTAATAATTTTTGTTACCAGGCCTTATAACAACACCTGTAACTCTACCTCATGTGCGATGCAGGTCCATAGCCAAGTAAGCCTATTATTAATTAGAGGGTGCACTGTAGTCAATAATTTTAAAAAAAGAATATAAAGTTAAAGTTATATTTGATTCGGTCCCGAAGAATAGTCCCATGATCGCATCCCACCTCCAAGTTGAAAGCCAAGCTAGCTCCCGTGGTATACCGGCATATGATTTGATTGCAATGGGCCTTTGGCGTTCAAATCAATCTTCTACCGCGGTATTCCCGCGTATGACTAGCTACCGCGGTATACCCGCTTGTAAGTTATACCTGTACATGATTTTCGAATTCGAAATAATTGTAGGCCTATATATATGATTTTGAATAATAATATTATTTCCTATAGAAATCTATCGTAAATAAAATATTTTCCATTTATCTTATCGCGCCCACCCAACCGTTTTCCTTAAGGGAAAACGGATAACATACACCCTTAACCATAGCAGCAGAGCACCGTATCGCAGCAGAGCACCGTATCTCCATTGCTGTGACTGCGACGCTGTAGGGCAAACGCGGCAAAGAGAACAAAATACACATTGTTCAACCAGCAACATAAGTCTGTTGGGCGTCCCATACTAGAGCCTGCAAAGAGAAACATACGATTAGAAACATATCTAAAGACTCATGACACGTCGCTGAAATACAAGCGACGTGTCACAGCGAATGGAATCGGTCAAGTGACCCAACACACCAAAGGCGCCCTCAGACCAATGGAAAATACATTTATTTCCTATAGAAATCTATCGTAAATAAAATATTTTCCATTTATCTTATCGCGCCCACCCAACCGTTTTCCTTAAGGGAAAACGGATAACATACACCCTTAACCATAGCAGCAGAGCACCGTATCAAGTAAGCCAAAGAACGGGCAAGACAACAAACGTTTTTTCTGCTCGTTTAATTTCATTACATTTCTACAAACCAAGGGCCTGTGAGACCCCTAACATGTTTGATGTAGACTCAGATATATACCTATCCCTAACAAAATCACTTCTCCATCTACCATGTTTACTTAAAAGTCTATCCTGCACACCAGCATTAGCTGCGGCAGTCACGCCCCCTGAGCGTAGACTATGTAAGCCGAACAGCTGTCTCTTATACACATCTAGATGTGTATAAGAGACAGCGTTATATGTAACCACACACGTACCTTTGAA